GGGGCACGGACCTGAGGGTCAAAGATGATGGCGTAAGGGTCGCACTCCAGCGGCGGGTTTGTCGGAGGGACCAAGATGGTTCGCTTAACCTGCATACCTGCTTATGGCGAGTAAGGCAAGTTGCACGCCCCATTTAGGCCTAACTAAGAGATAGCGTCGGGTACTTGCGCCGCGCCACCGAGGTGCTGCAGGCGTGCGCCCAGCTTCTGCCCCGCCGCAGCTCCGCACAGCGACACAGAGCCCCCCGCCCCTTTCCCCCTCCTTGCCCGGCAGGCGGTGCACGGCGAGGCGGCGCCTCTGGTCCGTGATGCGGCCGAGATGCTCAGAGGGGCTCAGCTCGAGCTTGCTTACGGAGACAACTCGGCAGCTAGCTGAGGCTGCTCTCGCGCAGTGGCGTGTGGGCTGTGTGTAGAGCGGCTGCGTGCAGCTGAGCCCCAGGTGTTCTCGTGTTCTCCCTGCACCCTGGCGGTTGTGGTTCGCGTTTCCGTCCGGTGAGTCGTCCACGAGAGAGAGCGTGCGCCATTAGCATTATCCATCCCCCCGCCCCGCGACCCCGGAAAGCCCGGTTGTGCCACGTCGCACGTCGGCCCGGCCAGGCCCACCCAGGCGCCCCGGGCCGTGTGGCCCGTGGAAAACGTCGCGTGGCCGTCTCCTGCACCCGCGCTGCGACCTGTGCCGTGTGCCTGTGCGCAGTGCGCAGCCCGCACTGCTGCCCGCCGGGCAGCGCTGCTGCTGGGGCCGGCCCCGTGTTTGTTCTGGTCAAAATCACATATCAAGAACGCCGAGAGACAGACCGCGCAGCAGGGCAGAATTCGACAGCATGACGCAGGCGCCTGGGGGGGGCTTCTCCACGCGCCGGCGCGCGGCGCGAAAGAGACCCCTCCCAACCCACCCACCACAAGCGTAGAAGCCGCAGACGAACGCGGGTCGTGGTGGCACTGCTGAGGAAGGCCAGGCGAACGCCCGCTCTAGCCCTCAACAGCAGTGCACGTGCACGCCCCGCGCGCGCCCGCCCGCGCCGGTGCCCTGCTGCGCCTGCAGTTCGCCGCTCTCAGGGGGCGGGGCGCCGGAACTGTGCTTTCCGGTCGCCCCCCCCCCACGCCCCCCGCCGCCGGCGCGCCACGCAACACCTCCTACCCCGCGCCCGTGACACTCAAGCATCAAAGCGCTTGCCGCCGCGCGAGTCGGGGTCGCGGAAAGTGGTCGCGGTGCCCTGCGCCTCGGACTGGATGTACAGGGTGACGAGGAAGACCACCGGGATGAAGAGGCCCAGGATGGTCGCCAGGAAGGCGCCGAACGACACGTCCAGGCCAATGGTGCCGCCGTCGACCGCAACGACGCCGGCGAGCGACTCAGAGATGGAGGCGAGCGCGGTCGTCTCCATAGACATGGTCGGCGCGAGCTTGGAGGCAGCGAGCTTGCTCTGCGCCGGGCGCAGCGCGGGCGAGGAGACCAGAGCCTCCGCAACTGAGAGAAGGGCAGCGGTGAGGGCGAGCTTCATGACGGCAAAATCTCGATGCGAAGGAAGCTGAATTAGGAAAAAAAATAAGCCCAGGGTGCGGCGCTATCCGGCCGCCACCCGACGGCCAGCACCGCGGGCCGCTGGACGCCATCTCCAATCCGACACCGACAGTCTGAATTGGCAAGGTACGGGGAATGATCAGAATGGCACGGCTCGGAATGCGTTCTCAGAACGCTCAGAACACCGGCGCTGAGACCCGGAGCCTCTCTCTCGCTTTCTTTACTCTCATCCACTGCCGTCGGGTATCCGCAGAGAAAGAAAGAAAGAAAACAGACAACCCACATCGGGGCGCAGTGTGGTCTTAATTTGAGGGTGGTTTCTTCGGCGCCTCCACCGCGCCCCGATGTCCGCCGCCAAGCGGCCGCGCCGCGCCGCAACCGTTCCACTGCCCTTTGACGCTCCGGCGGTGATTACTCTAGAGGAACCAGAGCCGTACACTCTTGGAACGACACGTTCAGTCTCAGCGCAAGGCCAATAACCTGTCTTCCCCGGTGCACCCCCTGCCTCCGGTACGCGATTCCGAAGCTGCACCTCGCGGCTTGCAAGCATGAAGAGGGTCTTGAAAATGACGCGCCGATCCGCGTTCACGTTCTACACTACGCCCTTCGCGATCGCGTGCGCTTCTCTCTGCCGAGAGGGGGGCAGAGCGCGGGCGTGGGCGACTGGCGTGCGTTCTCTTCTCTTGCGTGCGAGAGAGAGATTTTTAGCAATACCAAACAACTCTAACACTCACACGTAATTTGGGGCCTGGAGCCCTGTTCACGCGCGCGCGAGACGTGCAGACAGGGTTGCCAGGTGAGAGCGAATGGCGCGGTTCGTGATTTCTTGTTGGTTAATAAAAATCTCTCTCGGTTCACGCCTCGCACAACAGAGAGAGAGATGTTTGTTTTGTGTTTTGCGTGCGTGGCCGGGCGGGACATGAGGAACCAGAGTTTGACCGTTTTATTTATTTATTTACATCGCCCGAATACGGCTCTACAGTATACGCAACATGTACGGTCCCGCGCGCGGCGCACACACATGCGCACATGCGACAATTGACAGCCTCTCTCTCAACTCTCGTACTGTAGCCTCAACTGGTCCAGTAGGACATTCAAATTTAACTGCAGGCGCGGCTCTGCTGATGAGGGCGGCCAGGAGCCGAGTCTCGCTTTACCTTTAATCGCACGCCACCAACTACTTCACTGCGGTATGCCGTTCACTATGAGGTTATAGCCGACGCCGACGACCAGCGCACCAAGCAGCACGAAAGTGATCACCTGCGGCCGAGGCGGCAGACAGTTACGAAGGGAATCCGCTCTGCGCTTGCCGGCAGAGGGCGCCTCTTGCGGGTCGCCGCTGTAGGCGCCCTCATCCATGAGCGCCTTCTTCTGCAGGTAGCTGAGCACCTGCGGACCAAGCAAGCAGGCTCGCGCGCCGCCCGATCCCGCCGCCGGCCATATCCCCGAGGTCAGGTAGGGCCGCTGCACCGCATCCTCCGCCTCGGCGCGCGACATGCCCAGCTTCTCGCCCTCGAACTCCTGGTACTTGGTCACCATATCCTCGATATCCTCATACCGCGGCTGCCCGGTCAGAATCCGCTCCTTGTTGCGCTCCTCGAGCGCAGCCTCCATCTGCAGCCGATAGTCGCTTGAGAGCGACTCGATGGTCACCAGCACCTGCGCAGGCCCGGTTCGGTCGGACCAGGATGCGGCGGGCTGCGGCGGCTATGAGCTCGGGAAGGCAGAGCGCGCCCGGTCATCCTTAGCGATATCCGTCTCGCCCTGCAGCCTGGCCACGCCGCACCGCGTCGCACGCAGCCCGGGCCGAGCGGGGGCGACGAGGAGGCCGCTGGCTGGGCAGCAGAGGAGGCTGAGCAGCAAGCAAAGAAGCTTGTTGGGAGAGCTCAGCATTGACAGTCAGGCTCGCGCTGGAAAAGAATTTAAAGACACATCTCTCTCTCACAGCACACAGTACTATCACCGGCACACTGGAAAAGAAACAAACTATGCACACGCGGAATAACCTGGTGTACCCGGGAGGAGGAGATGGGGGAGGGGAGTTGCCGCAGTACGATAGCGGACCCGCCGGCGAGCCGGAAGGCCGACGCCGGAGGGCCCCAGGGGGGGCTTGGGGCCAGCTGTCGGAGGAGGCGAGGGATGAGCTGACGCGGCCTCTGCGAGTGGAGTCGGGACGTACGAGCTCACCGGGGGAAGGCCCGTCGCAGTGGCAACCGGATCACCGCGACCTTCGACAGGGAGGGCCACGCCTCCCCGAGCCTGGAGAGGAGCCGGCGGAGGGGGGGGGCGAGCCAAGGACGATAGAGAGGCCGCGGGTGCGGGCACGACTCGCCGACCAGGGAGAGAGCGGGCTCGACTTCCCGGGGGTGGAAGTGGGTGTGACCCGATGCCACCGTCCTCGCCCAAGGGGTCGGGAGCGGGGTCGCCGGAGGCGGAGTCAGCGGGATCAGGCAGAGAAGACGAAACGGTGGCGGGGCCGCGGCCAAAGAAGGCTAGGAGGGGAGGTCGGGCCCCACAGTCATCGCGGAACCATCGGAAGGCGAACAGGAGGGAGGACCGAGGGGAGAGAGGGCCCCCCTCGGTGGGGGGGTGAGGAGACCGTGCGCGGAGCGGGGGGGTTCCGAGCGGTGATGTCAGTGAGGAATGTGTGTGTTGTCGTGCTAGTGTCTGGTGTCTACTAGCCCCGAGTAAGAGGGGGCGTTCCGCTGCTAGGGGAAACCCGGAGCGCAGAGCTAACCCTCGGGGACCCGTGTTTACTTTAAGGCCCTTTCCCTGCGAACGCGCACCCCCGGGGCTAGGGCTCTCTTGCCCGCAACCCGATCCCGATCATCCGGCCCGCTGGGTGCGCTTCTTAGCTCCCCGGCCCTGGATGTGAGGCTGCCAACTGCACTCCAAGTGCTCCAAGACCAAGTACCGCGTCTCGCGACGGCTAGCATTCTCCCCTAAAATCCTTGTGTGGTGGCGGCGTGCCGTCCTCCCATCCCTCCCTTGGCCCGGTGTTTTCTTTCTTTTTTTGCAGGTGCATAGGAGCGAATCGCGGACACGCGAATCGCGACACGGCCAGAGGGGAGGCTGTAGACCTGTCGCGATTCGGACAAATCCTATCTACTCACCTCGTGCTCCGGTTCCCTTTGGGCTTTGGCCTTGCGCTGACTGAACGTGTCGTTCCAAGAGTCCTCTGGTTCCTCCTCTAAACCTCTAAAGTAGACGTTCGCTCTAGAGTCTATGGCTCTGGTTCCTCTTCCAGGCCACGGAGCACGCCTCTGCCCGTGCCCCTCTCGTCGGCAGACAGGAAGCGCACGCGAAGGGCGTAGACGCCAAGGCCTCGATAGAGTACGTAGATCGACGAAGGGGCGAAAAATCGGTTTCTTGTTTCTCGTAATTCAGCTTCCACTTCGCATCCGAGATTTGCCGTCATGATACATGAACGAGCTCGCCCTCACCGCTGCCCCACTCTCAGTTGCGCGCGCGTGCCGTGTGGAGAAGTTTACCTTACCTTACCTTACCTTACCTTACCGTGCCTTACCGTACCTTACCTTACAGAGAGTACAAGATGCTAGCGCCTGCCTAGGACGCCACAGTACTAGTCTCTCTACAGACTACACCTGAGAGCTCACAGTGTCACAGACAGGACAGATTGCGACTTGGGCCTAGTCAGTCCGGGCGGTTGCGAGATGGTCGAGCGGTGGCCTCTGCTGGAGAGTCCAGCCCCGACACTGTGTGCTCGAAAGCGACCCTCTGTGCGTGGCGCCTTCCGTCTAGGACACGCGATCGACGGTCAAAGGGGTGGGCGCTTGCTTCGTGCGGCGGCGGCTCTGCTTTGGCGGCGCCTCACGCGACGTGGCCCGCTCTCCCAGCTCCTCGTCGCCGGGGAGCGCGAGGTCGCGCCAGTCGTCCGAGTAGTTGGGCACCGCGGAGAGCCGTCGCAGCTTGCGCGCGCCGGTGGACCGGCCGTTGGCCAGCGGCGGTGATGGCGGTTGCGGGAGCGGCGCAAGCATCGAATCTGCTGGCGGCTGCGACAGCGGCGCAGGCGTCGAATCTGCTGGCGGCGGCGGCGGCGGCGGCGGCTTCGTCGAATCAGACGGCGGCTGCGAAGTCAGCGCCGGCGTCGAATCGATGGGCTGCTGTGGCGGCAGTGGCCGCTTCGGCAGCGGCGGCGGCTGCGTCTCCTGCACCTCCTCTGAGCTCGGCGACCACTCGTCCGAATAGTTGGGCACCGCGGACAGCCGTCGCAGCTTGCGCCCGCCGGGGCGCCCGTTGGCCAGTGGCGGTGACGGCGGCTGCGGAAGCATCGACTCGACCGGCGGTGGCACCGAAGGCTTCTTTGGCGGTGGCAGCGGCCGCGCCTCCTGTGCTGGTTTCCCGCCGCCGGCAGATCGGTCCGCGCGCACCTTTGGCGGCCGCGGAGCCTGCACTCTTCCGCGGCGGTCCTCGGCGACCTGAAGCTCATCGCGATAGCGGGCATGCCGCTCCTCCCTCACCGCTGCGGCGGCCGCGAGCGCTGCGCGAGGCGGCGTCGACGTGACTCGGCTGCTGGCGGAGGCATCAGGCTGCCCGTCCCACGAGCGCAGGACAGCCAGGGCGTCGCTGAGCCCGCTGGGCTTCAGAGACATCATGAGGCTTCCGGGCTGGGGCTCGGGCCTATCGTTCTCGCGGGAAGCAGGAGCGAAGCCGTTATTTCTCGCATTTTCTTTTCTCCCAATGCGGGGTAAAATTCTTCTTGTCGCAGGAGTCGCTAAGGCGGCTCCGACCAGCCCCGTTCCCAGTGTTGATAGACGGTTCCTTCTTTTTTCTTCTGTTCTCGTGCCAGTCTGCTGGACAGGGGCTTGTAGGCGGGTATTGCTCTTGCCCTTGCGCGAGCGAGCGGTCACGCGCGCGAGTAGCCGTTTGGACACACCGCTTTGAGTGAGGCTGCCCAGCCATCTGTCTCTATCTCCACCTAGCTAGGATCCAGGGTAGTCTGATCCAATGATCCTAGCATATGCTGCACGCCGTGAGGGCAAGACGGAAAACCACAGGGCAGGTTTTGTGGTCTCCACGTGAAAAGTCAGTCCAGTGCGCCCAGATTGCAGCCTCCTGAAATTCTTTCCCGACGCAGTGCGCGCCACAGTCCCGTGCCTAATGTTGTGCGCGAGGGAGCACTTGGAGCAACTTGGAGTGTAGTCATCAGCAGCACGCCCAGGGCCGGGGAGCTAAGAGAAGCGCACACCCAGCGGGCCGGATAATTGGTATCGGGTTGCGGGCTAGCTAGAGCCCTAGCCCTTAGGGGGGGGGTGCGCGTTCGCAGGGCCATAACACGGGTCTCCGAGGGATAGTTCCGTACCGGGTTCCCCTTACTTAACGACTGCAGAAAGAACGCCCCCTCTACTCGGAGCTAGGTCTCCGAGGGATAGTCCGCGCTTTGGGTTTCCCCTAGCAGCGGAGCGCACCCTCTACTCGGAGCTAGTAAAAGAAACGCAGAAAGAAAGAAAGAAAACGGACAACCCAAGGGAGGGATGGGAGGACGCTCTGCCAATCCAAGTCTGCGCCCTTTTCTTGCGCCACATCGACTCTTCCGGGCAGCCTTCCTGGTTGCGCGCGAACACACTATGGCGACGCGCTTCGCCAAGGCGGTCGCCGCTCGAGTTGGCTCCGCCGCCGTGCTCGGAGGCGGCGTGCGGGCTGCGCGCGGCGCCATCACTGCCGTCGGGAAGCGGCTCCCCGAGCTCGTGCCGCCGCTCGAGTTTCCGAGCCGAATCGAACCGATCGCAGCGGGCAGCTCGAGCATCGACAACGACGTCTACGACGACGATACAGTCGGCTCGAGCTGGCACTCGGACGACCCGACCGACCAGCTCGCCACCCTGCAGCTCCTCAACACGGCGCGCATCCCCTACTTTGACCGCGTCTGGCGACAGCAGCTCGGGCTGCCGCCTGGGCGGCCTGGCGCCTACCTCGAGGTCGGGTGTGGCGGCGGCATCGCAACTGTCGCGCTCGCTTCGCTCGGCTACCAGATGACCGGGATCGACCCGGCCGCGCGCGCGCTCGACGAGGCTCGCGCCCACGCGCGCGCGCGAGGGCTCGCCGACCGAACCGTGTTCGCGGCGGGCGACGCCTACGACCTGTCGGCCTTCCCGGACGACTCCTTCGACGGCGTGCTGATGGCGGACGTGATGGAGCACCTGCTCGATTTGCCGGCCGCGGTGGCCGAGGTGCGGCGTGTGCTCAAGCCGGGCGGCGTCCTGGTCTTTGACACGATCAACCGGACGTACAAGTCGTACCTCGCGGCGATCGTGCTGGCGGAGGAGGTGCTGCAGCTCGTGCCGCCGCGGGTGCACGACTGGCGGCTCTTCCTCAAGCCGCACGAGGCGGCCTTCCTGCTGCAGGACCGCCCCTCCCCACCGCACCCCGCCGCGCCCCGCACCCTCACCCGGCCTCGCCGCCTGTGCTGGCCCACGCAGGCGAACGGCTTCCTCGTCGACACGGCGCAGTTCCGAGGCATGGCGCCCACCGTCGAGCTCGACCCGCGCAAGCTGCTCCGCTCCGCCGCGCGGGCCCTCCCGAGCGGCAAGCTGCCCCCCCCGCCGCTCTCGCACTTCGTCGAGGTCTCCTCGCTCGATGTCAACTACCTCGGCTGGGCGCAGCTCGCGCCCCTCTCGAGCGGCGGTGCGGCGGGGCCGACACTGCAGAGCGACATGCAGCGCTTCCGCCGGAGCGCGACGACGTGACGTCCTTGATCGCAGGCCTCCCAAACCAACGAACCAGTGCGAGCAGGCCACGGAGGCGCAGAAGCGGTGCAAACCACAATAAAGAACATTGCTTAATGTTATGATAATATCGCGTGTGTAGTCTGTCTTGTGTGTGTGTGTGTGTGTGTGTGTGTGTGTGTGTGTGTGTGTGTAAAGTATGTTCTTTTAATATATTATCTCTCGACTCCGCAAGTCCCTCTGGTTGGTGGGAGACGCCCCCAGTTTCGCAGTTCTCTCTGGACACTGGAGGTCTCTCTCGGTCGACTCTCTTGCTTTCTCCTCGCTCATGAGACGCTCGCCGAGTTGCTAGTAAACACAGCGACACAGGACTTGCCGCATCAACGAGAGTCGACCGGCTGAGCTGCTTCACAGGCCGCCCCCACCCAACAGCTGCTCGAGATAAGCCTCCGCCCTCTCGTCGCGACCGGTCCACGAGCGGGCCTTGCTGAGCTCCTGCCGCGTGAAACGCTTGCGCCGCCGCTCCCCCTCCGCGGCCTCGTCGCGCTGACCCGTCCGCTCGCCGCGGCGCGCAAGCTCAGCGACAGCAGGAGCGTATTCGAGGGCGGCGGAGAGGCGCAAGCAGCGGTCGGGGTGGACGCGCCGGCGCAGCGCCGGCGAGAGGCTTCCCTGCTCGGAAGGGCGGGGACGGGTGAAGAGCTCTCCTACAGCCCGGCCTCGCGGCTGCACGGCTGGGCTGGCGTCCTGCTCGGAGTAGAGGCCCCACGCTGCCTCCTCCGCACCGTCGTCCGGGGCCAGCTTCGCAGCAGAGAGCCACGCCGCAGCGCCCGCCTCGACGTCCCGCCGCGTGCCGATGCCGTAAACCTGCACAGAGGCGAGCCGGGCTCACCAGCCAGGCTCGCCGCAGGGAAGTGCGACGGCTGCCGAGGCGAGCCTGAGCAAAGCCGTGCTGGAAGAGGGCGAGGGCCGATCTGCGGCGCGGCGGAGGAGACGCCTCGCTCTCCGACTCGCTCTCGCTCGGTGGCTCGCCTCCAACCCACACCGAGGCTGCGGACTCGAAGAGGGCGGCTGCTCGCTGCGCATCAGCGGGCTTGCCGGGCAGATCGCCTGCGATGGAAGGAGGAGGAGAGTGCTGCCGACGGGAGGAGCCGTCGAGAGGGAGACGAGGGTCTCCGCTGGCTGAGCAGGCTGGGCGGTCTGTGAGCAATCTACGACGAGCAGCGCCGTCCTCGTGGCAGACGCCCAGCTTGACCAGCCCGACGGGCGAGCCAGCTGCCGCACATGCAGTGATGATGTCGAGGCCGGCCGCCTCGTCGAGCTCGGCTCCGACGCCTCGCCGCACGCAGCCGCCCAGCGTGGCGAGCGCCTGCGCGACGTGGCCGGTGAAGTTGCGCGCGGGCACACAGGGCTGCGGCAAAGGGCTAGAGGGAGGCGAGCCTCGACGTTGCCCGCGACGGCGGCTGCAGCGTGCCAGTAGGCGGACTCACGCTCGTCCCTCTGCGCACCTCCGACGCCGGAGTAGTGCAATAGGCCGAGGGTGTGCTGCGCCGTGCCGTCGCCGCCGTGCGCTGCGTCTGCCACCGCGCTGTATCGCTCCTCTGTCGCAAGCCGCATCGTGGCCGCGGTGGACGCTGGAGCGAACCGGAACTCGCCCTGCGGCCTCAAAGGAGGTAGCGATGTCTCGGGCTGCTGCGACCCGCCCTCCGACCTCAGTTCGCCGATGGCCCACGCCGCTGCCGCCGCCACCGCCTCCGGCTCGAGCCAGCCATCCCGATCTAGCGCGATGGATCCGCAGGCTTCCGTCACGGCGTGAGACAGCCGCCGCAGCGTGAGTGCTTGCGAAGTCGAACAGCTGGGCGCCGAGAATAAAAGGAGCAGCATTGTGGCGTGAGTGGGCGTGGCAGCTCAAGCACGCCGGCCGCCGCCCAACACAGGCCGCGGAAAAAAATTTCCCCTGTCTGTTTTCTTTCTTTCTTTCTTTCTTTCTTTCACTTTTTTTCTGGTGCCCGGCGCTTCGATGTTAGAGATTTTTGAGCTGTTAGGCACGGGAAGTCGAAAGAAAATTTCCGCGAAATTCTTTGACTTTGTTTCTTCATCTCTCGTAGTTAGTTTACTACCAAGGTAGACACTTTAGCTCCGTACTAACTACGGGGGAAGCGCGCACACGCCGAATCGTGTGTGTTCTGCGTACCCGCGTGTGTGTCACAACAACGCGGGCGCCCCTCCCAGCGGCATGGTCACGCGCCGTCTCGGACCGGCGGCATGCTTGTGTTTGGGCGGACTGCGCGCGTGCTCGAGCGGGACGACGGCGAGGTGGGCGCTGCAATCTCCGACGCCGTACGAGACGAGGAGCGTCGTCGAGCCGTCGCCGGCCGGCTCGGAGCGCACCGCGAGCCCCATCACCATCTGAATCGCCTGCTTCCTCGCCTCGGTGGTGTTTGATGACGGTAGGCGGAAGGGCGAGGCGACGTGCGCCTCCAAGTTTTGCCCCGAGGGCTGCAGCTCGACGAGGTTGTGGGTGTAGAGCGGGCCTGTGTAGAGCTCGTGCCGCACGTGTGCCAGCGCCAGCCACCGACCGTCCGCGACTCGCACAAACGGCGAGCCTCCGCGAAGCTCGTCGTGGCCACTCCCGGATTCCTCGCCAAATGCGAATGCCGCCGATTCGAGCAGCGGCGCCTCGGTGAGGGCGACGGCCCCGTTCTGCGAAAGGGAGAGGATGACCCGGGCGCACGAGCCGTCGCGCAGCGATGGCCGGAGGACAATTAGCGGCTTGAGAGAGTAGGCCACTAGCAGCGTCTGGCTCGGCGCCTCGCCAACCACCAGAGGCACCCAGTTCTTCTCAAAGCGCGCGGCCGAGTAGGCCCTGTAGGCCTTGTCGGCCCTCGGATCCACAGACAGCAGGACCGCTGACGTCGCATGGTGCCGCTCGTCGTCGAGAAGGGCGACGGCAACACGGCAGCCCGGAGCCCCGACGCGCCACACGTGGACCGTCACCGTGAACAGGAGCGCGAGCTGCCCGTTGAGGCGGAAGAGGCGCGGGTCCTCAAAGCCTCGGATGAATCCCGCCGCCGCGGTCCAAGGTCCGCCTTCGTGCACACTTTGCGCCGCGAGGGCCTCGAAGCTCACTTCCAGGTAACGGCACGACCCTGGCGCTGGCCGCAGGTCCGAGCCGAGCTCGCAGGTCGCCACGTCGGAGAGTAGCATCTCGTCGAGCCCCTTGTACTTCCAGATGTCGGTCCCGGAGCAGCGCGTGTTGTTTGATACGCGGAACGCCACCCACGCAGCGGTGTTCCCCGCATCAGTGTGGACAGAAGGGTTGAAGGCGCGGAACGATGGCCCCCGGGTGCGCCGAACAAAGCTCTGCAGCCCCTCCTCAAAGCCAGACACCTCGACGGCGCGAGTCAGGGAAGGTCCTGCTGGCGAGAGAGGGAACTTGGAAGGGTGTGTTTTCTGTTCCACGAGCGCCGCTTCGACCCACCTGTACATGCCATCAGGGCTGGACCATGCTCCGCGACGCCGGCATGCTGCCTGGGCGATTCGCGGGTTGCGGTGGGCACGAGAAATGAAGAGGCACATCGCACCGCCAGCCTCCTCGATTGGCACCCTGTCGTGCGCATGGGCTTCGACGACAGCCTCCGCAAAGAGAATGTCGAGATTGGGGCGCGTTTCTGCAAACCGCTTCGCGCTGGACCAGAGGAGGTTGTAGACTGCACTCCGCTCAGTGCCGGCGAGACCCGGCGCAATGAGCGCAACAAACGCATGCTCGTACCGAGGTATCTCCACCTCGAGGTACGGCCGCTCGAGCAGCAAAACCTCGCCCGGCGGCTGCTTCGGCCGGCATGAGTCTCGCTGCGGCGGCGGGGATGGAGAAGCCATACCAACCGACGGCCGCCTCAACTTCGTGTGACCGAGAGCGCGCGTCCCCTAGAAGCTCAGCTTCACAGTGATAAGACAAGAATTTCACAAGAAAACTCCCTCGCACAACGAAACTCGAGCCCGATCTGCCCGTCGGACATGTCGGAACCGTCGGAGAATATTCTTCCCTCGCGGTTGCGTCCTTTTACTTATAGGACAATCGACCAACAAAGGGAAGAGGCACGCGCGGACGGAGATAGCACAGGCAAAGCGAGGTCAACATACAAATAAAGGTCCACAACCACATTTCTGTTGTCACCGTAGCGGCGAGTACGTCGGCGAGGGGCGCTCAGGGGGCGGCGGCCGACCGCTCCCCCGGTATTCGCCATAGTCGGGACTGCGGCTACGGCGGCGGCGGCTGCGGCTGCGGCTGCGGCTGCGGCGGCCCCGCTCGCTGCGCCCAGACGCCTGCTCGCCGCGCGCTGGGCGATCGCCGCTCCGCGATCGGCCGCGGTCCGCGTCGCGGCTGCGGGAGCGAGAGCGCGACGGCGAGCGCGACGGCGAGCGGCTCGCCGAGCCAAACTTGTCGTGGCTCCAGCTCGAGACGAGCCTCTCTCGGTCGACAGTCCGCCGGCGGAGCGGCGGGTCGGCGCGAGGCGCGACAAGGCCCTCGCCCGCGCGGGAGTAGAGCGAGGGCGCCGCGGCGCCGCCCGGCACGTCGACCGCCGCAGACTCCTCCTGCTCCTCTGCGAGTCCGGCGGGCTGCTTCGCCCCAAACGCGGCGGGCAGCCCCGCCGCCTGCCGGTCCTTGACGTAGTCCTGGTTGAGCCGCTCGGTGAGCAGCACAGGCGGAGCCAGGTGCGCGCCGTGGGTGACCGCCGCGAGCCGCTCGTGCGCGGCCGAGAGCTGGCGCGAGTCCTCGAGCGTGTTGAAGGCCTGCGTCGACACGAGCACCGAGGCGAGGCTCTCGTGGTCCGCACGGGCGACGCCGCGCAGAGGCGCGCCGGCGGCGGTGGACGGCTTGGCGAGCCTGCCCGCGCGGGTGTACTTGTGCGTCTTGATGATGTAGTCGATGATTGGGTTCTCGTCCTCGCGCGGCCCGTGGATGTAGGGCACCGGCGCCTCCCGCTGCAGCTGCTCCTTGCGCCGCCGGCTGCGCGCGAGGTAGTCGTCCTCGTCGACGCGCGCGCCGGCGCCGTGGAGAGGCGGAAGCGGAAGCGGAGGCGGAGGCGGAGGCGGAGGCGGAGGCGGCGGGTGTGGGTGCGGGTGCGACTGTAGCGGCGGGTGCGGGTGCGGGTGGTGGGGCGGTGGAGGCGGAGGCGGCGGAGGCGGCGGAGGCGGCGGAGGTGGAGGCGGAGGCGGCGGCGGTTGCGAGGTTGCGGCTGCCGGGCATCCGGCGCCGAGTACCTCGCCCTCTCTCCGCCTTGTCGACCCGCGTGCTGGCGAGGCGCTGGATCTGTCGCTGCTGCTCCCGCGGCTGCGACTCCTCTTGGACTCCCGCTTCGACTTCGACGCCTTCTTGTCCTTTTTCGACTTGGATGACTTCTTCTTGTCCTTCTTTGACTTGCCGTGCCTGTGCCGCGCGCTCCGCGCGCTCGCCGATGCCATGGAATCCATCGGGTCCCGCTCCTCCTCCTCCTCCTCCTCCTCCTCCGCGCGCAAGCGAGCGGCATAGTTGCTGGCGCCTCCGAGAGCGGCCTGCGTGGCAGCCTGCAGCTGGCGCCTCCGAGAGTCGTGGTAGCTGTCCTCGTCGATGGCCTCGTCCTCCGCGGTGCGCGAGAAGACGGAGGAGAGGTGAGAGCCGAGCATCGTCGTGTGCGGCGTGCGGCGAGTGCCAGCCTGCGGTTCACGCTGGAGAGCCGAAAGAAGAATTTAGAATGCTTAAGATACAAGCCTCTCTCACGAGTGTAGGTAAACGAAAAAATGTATTATCCTAACGGTGTGGGGGCGCGGAGGGCTTGTTGGCGAGCCAAAATGGTGTTTTCCGAGGCGCTGCGCTAGGCTCAGAGCGAGTTCGCGCTGCGCTAGGCTCAGACGGCGAGTTCGCGCTGCGCTAGGCTCACAGATGCGAGTGCGCTGCGATAGAAGAAAAAAACAGGGTCGAAACGACAACCGAAGGGAGGACTGTGTAGTGTAATCATGTGTCAAGAATCACGTGCTGCTGCTGCTGCTGCTACTGCTGCTGCTGCGCGGCGAGCGCCGTCGCCGAGGCGGGCCTCGGCGGAGAGCGCGATTATGCGGCCTTTTCCGCGACCCGCACAAAGAAGAGGCGCCCTCCGTCAGCCTCGACCTGCCACCGGCTCGCGTCGACCGACCCGGCCGCGTGCCACACCTCCACAGCCCAGTGCGCCAGCCCGCAGAAGTTGCCCTCCTCGATGCCCCATCCCGTGGGCCACGCGGCCAAGGCGGTGCCGAGAAGCGGCGGCGGCGCCGCGGTCGCCTCGAGACGCGCCGCGACGGCGTCAAAGGCGATCCGCCTCGCGCCCGTCGCGGCCGCCTCGGCCAGCAGCGCCTCCCCGGCCAGCCGCGGGAGGTCGCCCTCCGTCTCGAACCAGCACGACGAGCGGCCGTCGGCGCACGCCTCGTCCCACGCCTTGAGCTGGCGGACAAAGGCCGCCAAGCTCTTGAGGCCGGGCGAGGGCGCGGCGGGCGACGGGGCAAGGGAGCAGCCGGGCGAGGAGAGGTAGGAGGTGCTCGCCGGCGAGCGCTCCCGCGCCTGCGAAGGGGCAAGGCCTGAGGGCGGGCGGGCGGGCGGGCGGGCGGGCGCGGGTGGGGGGGATAAA